AGCCTCTAATTCTCGCTTCTTCTTTTTCTCCTCTTCCATTTTTTTCTTGCTTTCCGCTGTTCTATGTAACAACTGAGCGATATTCTGTATCGCAGATTTCGTCGGCGTTATAGCCATTTTTTCAATCATTCCCGCGAACAGCTGACCCTTTAGTTTCTCTTTGACAGTCTCGAAAAGCACGCTCACCTCTTCGTCGTACAGTAACTCCTCGGCAGAGTTCGGTTTCGCTTTTTCCGCCGCTAATGCTTTTGAGAGAAGAGACACTATCTTCGGTCCAAGGGAGCCCAGTTGGCCCTCCAGTGCCGTGAGCAACCTCAGTAAACCGACCACTTCTAAATCTTCGGTTAATACTTCTTCGGGCATAGGGCTCGGAGATTTGTCTTTCACGGGATAGGGTGTCGCGTATCTCGTGCGTGAAACGGTTCGGGGGTAGTAACTGCTTCTGTATATAGCTCCTCGCCCACGCATATAAGAAGAATACGAGTAATCACGATCCCTCGTATCGTGATGGTCGTAATAATCCGTTTTAATAGTTTTCGTTCCAACGTATTCAACGTCGTCGTCGCTCTCTACGCGATGACGGCTTCGTTTGGGTGACCGGTCGCGTCTGTTCGGCGGAATCCATTTCTCCGGTGGCTTGTCTTCTGGTAATTCTAAACGTTTTCTGATCTCTTCTTTTCGCTGTTGCAGTTGTTCGTTATGAATTTCGCGCATGCGCTTGTTCCAGAACTCGATCCATTCGGGCTTGAAATCGTGCTTGCTGGGATCTTTGCCCTCGGCTTGTAACTCTTTGTACCGTCTGTTCCAAAATTTTTTCCACTCGTCTGGATACGACGGATGCTTTTCTGGGTTTTTCTCATGAAACTTTAAAGCACGGTCTAGCGTTTCTTCGGCCCGTCGTATCTGGTCACGATACTTGTCCCATTTGTCCCGTTCTCTAAGCGGTTCCGGGGAACGCGTACGAGATCGAGAATATCGCGATTTTGAACGGTATTTCGTACTTTTCTCTGTTATGAGGGGTTTACGATTACGATTCGGTGATCGTGATCTGGAACGTGATGGAGATGGACTGCTAGAAATGCTTGAAAGCGATGAAAGAGACTTTGTTTCGTCGGAAGGACGTTTCGGAGATTTTTTCATTGTCTCTTCCTCTTTTTCTAACGGTTTACGAATATGTAATTTATCCCTTGTAAGGATACGAATCTTGAATCCCCTAAAATATATATATAAAAAAAAAAAAAAAAACAGATTTAACATTTCATTTTGAGGAGACGTGTTACATTCTTGTGTTCAGATATAATCGTTATTATTAACTTACGATTTCGTAGTTTCCGATTTCGATTCCGTTTTCTTCGGTGTTGATTTTTCATGTTTCTTGTCTTCGGTTTTTTGTTTTTCGTCTGGGTCATCGATAGGTTGAGAATCTTAACACAAGATTATCGTTAAACGATTGAATACTTAAGACGCTATTAATCTAACCTAAAAATGTAGATCATTGTACACTCACCTTTCTTTGTACCACTAACACCAGCCATTTCACCCATTTTTTCTTCAAAGTCTGTTACCCATCGCACATCGTAAACATCCATAAATGTTAACTCTGGCGTTTCCCTGCACGTAGGAAACAGCCATTGATTTTAAGGAAATGTAAATTAAATTACGAAATTCATTACCGCGCACCTCGTCAAATCGCGTCCATCGAACTTTAATAAAAACACGCGAATCGAAATGTTCAATTCGCATGACGTTCAAATGTATATCAAGTTAAGATTGTAAAAAATAATAATATTACAACTTACCTAAAATGATAATCCTGATAGACTCTCTTGATATACTGCATTTTGTTCTTTTCGAATTGATTCTTGTCTACCAATTGCGGCTGTAGTCTTCCAAATCGTTCTTCGATCTTCTTAGCCACTAACACCGATATTTCATTAGCTCCACGTTTATAATTGGGAGTACGCGGTAATTCCGTAATAGCTCGCGATATGGTTGGAAAATGTCTGTTTAGATAAGTTATTCTATGATTGTAACTGGTAATATGAGCCATGACGGTACGAGGATCACCCCGTTTATCGCATAAAACGCATGTATAGCTGGGTTCACAGGAATCGTTATCCACTAGTTCGAGCAAATATTCCAGACCAACGAGCGGTGAACTTCTATGTCGATCCAGACTTGTCTGAATCGTTGTTGTTCTAGTTATTTGGTCTTCCATGCCTGGTGGTACCGGTTCTCCGGGTGCTAGACCATCGCCAATGGCAGCTGATTGTGCAGGTGGGGATGCTTTTACGATATCTGATCGTTTCGACCATAATAAAACTGGATATGGCCATTCGTCTAATTTCATTTTGTGACGATTACACATGTTATGATTTAATAATTTGTGAGCTCCAAACAGAGCTATATTACATATATGACACCATATATCGCCATCTTCCGTTTCCGAATATACAGGTCTAAGTGTGCCATCTTCAGCTGTGACACTGCTCCTCATTAAACGCTTTCGATCGTACTCTTCCTGTGAAATACAAACATTTTGTAAAACCAAGAAATAACCGTTGTTGCAAAAATATATCGAAGAACATAGGAATGTATTAGTAGTTTTGATTACTGGAATGCCTTGAATAAAGAATATTCAAAATTGCGATCTTAATAAATATATGTTCAAAATACTGTTTCTGCTGATTTTCTAAAATCTTTTAGATGGTAATTAACAATTTTATATGCAATTGTTAATATACATCACCTTCTCTTTGCCTGCTTCTGATAAGTGAGTAGGATTACGACCCTCTATGTCAAGATCATCAAAATTCTGCATGTTTGATCCACGTGTGTGTAAAAATTCTCACTGTGTCGTCTGAAAATATAAAACTGTTATAAGGTTTGAGAAAGAAAAAAATGCAGCATCAGGGTCGGTCAGATATACGAAAATTAAAAAATGGCATAATACTACAATACTGTAAAAAAATAAAGCCTCAACTAAGAAATGATTTAAAGATGTATATGCCTTGGTTAACAAAACTAATAATTATAATTTTCAAAAGGAATATTGCCATTGATACTTGTAGAAAGGAATAAAAAAAATATTAATTTATGAGCCAACCCTGTAGCAGCAGTGGTTCATTTTTGTACCATAAATTTTCTGATAAATGTTATCATTAGTTAGCTAACAAATTTTAATGAAGTATACTTACCAGTTGAAAGTTGTATATGCTAATATATTTAAACAATTTCTTTACACATATAACATTACCTAAATGTGAAGTTTTCATGTATGCAGTTTAATTTGAAACTAAATTGAAGTGGAATCACAAATTGGTATTTAGAAAATGATAATTCGGTGCGCGTAATACTTGTTGCAAAATATTGCTGAAAAGACAATTTCAACAACATGGAATACAACAAGAAAATTTTTAGGTACATTCAATACCAATATTTCTAATGCAATTAATAAGATACATTGATTCTTATGTATGTACTTACACATTCAGGAAATTCTACGGATATATATATTAACTTACAATTATATTTCTAAGAAGATCAACATTAAACAATACTTGATTTTTGTTCTTCAATGTAAGAACTAATTGACATAATTATTATTACTATTATTTGTAATTTTGCTGGAGTATAACAATCAATCCCCAGCTACTTACCGACAGAAAGGAAACGTCATTCATCCAATAATGTTTCCATGATGCACAAGTACCACAAAACATTGAACAGAATGCACCGTATAAAGACACTAATATCACGCAAAGTTAAGAATTAGGATAACTTTGCAATATTGTATAATTAAACGAGAAAAATACGTAGCTGTTTAAGTTGAAACAAAATCATGTTACAATTTGAATCGACACAGCTAATGAGGGTAAAGTGCTGCGAGCCTCGTTACAACAGGAGAATGAACAAGACATGTGAAATGATGCGTGTCTTTTTATTAACCGGTGCATATTTAAACAAATTATGCTGCTAATAACATAAGAACAACAAAATTATGGTGGGAATCACGGAAGAACCTGTAATACGCGCAACCAAAAGGTTATCCGACTAACTGTTCATTCACAAAAATTGGATAAAGTAAACAGTTTATACCGAATTCACTCGCATAGCTAGCGTTTAACAATCAAGAGATCATAGCCAAATGGCGATCCCTTGGTTTGTAATTAATCCTCCCTTTCTTATAAATATCTTTTTATCTTTTTTCGGACAACTTATGCCTAAATTGTAACCTCCGCAGTTAAAGAATAAAAAAGAATAGGCTTGACTTACCAAACTACCTGTGCGGGACGGTCACTGTTGTCAATCTCTTCGGTGTTGAATTTTGATTTTATTAATTCTATTTTCGATAAAACCTTTCGGTGGCCATATCGAAAGAGGAATATTTAACAAGCACAGATCTGCGCATGACTGGCCTGCATACAGAGGTCTCGTTCGGTAATTCATTTCTGGTAGAAAACGCTCTTACCAACGCGCTAATTTCAAAATTATGCATAAACAGATTACTTTGAATCTTACAGAAATTTATACCTTTTTCGTTACTATTACTGACATCTTTGTGTGTGTGTGTGTGTGTGTTTTTTTATAGTAACCTTAGTATCAAGGGAAAAGTTTAAAAGATGCCAAGTAAGAAACATACCATGCCAAGAAATTTCAGAAAAACTTTATTATTTTTTACAACTTTTATTTTTTCATACTTTAACAAACGATTGATAAATATGCAAATTTATGAAATTCATGATAGATAAAATCTAAAATGCAATACTGTTATACTTGACGTTGATGGTTTCGTGACTCTGGTTACACGCGACGTAAATATCCCGCTTTTATCATTCGTAAAGATTTTATCACGCGAAGGAAAATAAATGTTACATTTCATGAATTCTCAGCGAATGTCTTGATCTTTAAGACTGTTCATTGCTAACTTGTGATTTAATACTGCCTATCGTAATCTATACTAATGTAAGTATAATCGTTTTAAAATATCATGCAACCTTTAGTTCGTAATACATTCAAATAGTCTTGATCGAAGATTCATAAAAAGTTAGTCTCCTGAGTGAAGCTAAGATAAAAAAAGATTAAAAAAGAGTATCTAAATACTTTCTCGTTAAACGGAGTAGGTTGAAGGCGAATTTGTTTATTAAAGCTAACGGAATAAATAGTCACGTAACAAGAACTGTAAAATTGTCTTTTGGAGCGAAACTGTATTTCCTATAAATTGTTTGCGTAGACCGCGGGCCACATTCATCCCGCGAGGCCACGGTTGCCCATGCGTGTTCTAGATGACATTGCTTTTGCGTTGATCACCCTGAACTACACTAATTATAAGTTAATCAGTCGATGTCTGCGCGTCCACGGTTTCTCTCATCTGGCTACATTTACCTGTGTTTTCAACGATTAACAAGCTAGACACGAAGCCTTAATTGGATCCTTATTATTGGCAGATGAGTGAAAACGCATACATCCAAGCATTTTCGTGCTTACACAGACACTTTTCATAAAATTGGACGGATATCCTGAACTAGTCCGTGGTATTTTATGTCAGTAACTGTACATAAAATTCTAGTGCATGGATCAGATGTAATAAAACATTCCATTCTTCCAATTGGACAGTTATCGGGGCACGTCCAGGAGCGTCGTCATAAAGATACAGAGATGCATCGAGAACATTTTAAAAAGCCATCATCAAGGATGCCATAAATATTTTTTTTTGTAACTTGTAATCACCTCATTAGGAACTGCCGCAGTTAAAGTTACCGGTTACGGTTGCTCACGAAATGAAAACAAATAAACGAAGGGAAATTCTTCCTACGAGTGTATATACGTTCGAAAAAATGACGAACTCGGATCGTAAAAGATTTGATCGTTTGGACCGTTCCTCGATCGAGTCCTTCGTTTGCGATCAAGTCAGCGGTAGCGGTATAGTTGAAGCAACTGTAGCAGTAGGGGCCCAACATGTGCTAGGTCTCAAGTGGCTGGTGCAACGGTCAGTCAGTCGGTCATCGTCTTTCGCTCGTGTTCTTCAAAGATTCGTGAGAACCACGTGGATGCGTTCGCATCATAGTCGACATGGTCCTCAGGCATCTTCCGATCACCCTTGTGCAACTCGTCGCGCTCACGAGCATCGTGTTCCCAACGGAAGCGCGGTGGAGTGTTTTATCGCGTGTGTCGAGCAGTGTTTGCGCTCTGATCGTCTTCCCATTAAACACGCATCAATGGTCGTTGATGGGCTTGAATCTGTGGCCGAGTCTCGCCCCGAGACCTAATCAAACCCAAATCGCGTCGAGGCCATCCGACGGGACGATTTTTGACAAGTATTCCATCTCTAGGGGTAAGTTCTGACGCAGTCATTATCTTTCTGTTATCTTTGTTCCGTCTAATCCTAAAGTCTGTAGGGTATGTTTTGAAAACAATTTTTTATACAAAATACAAATGTATCGCGATTTAATTGCGATGAAACGGCAGACGCGTCTAATTACAGTTGAACGTAATCAACAACCGTAATAGTATTATACAACCGATAGGTTTTAATTGCAGAGGACTCCGAGTAGTAGCATCCGAAAGAGAGACAGTTGCCTAGGGTCGACGAAAACTATGTCGAAATTTTCATTTATAAATTATTCGTTTTGACTCCGCGATAAAAAAGAGAGTTTAATAATTCTTCACCTGAAAAGCTTTTACGAATTTATTACTCCGTCGATTGTTTATTCATTACCTGTGTTTAGCAATTTGATTAGAATACGATTTCACCGCATGGAGTGTCACGCGCTACACTTCATGCGGAGGACAAGATTCGGGTAACGTTAATTATAATATTCATGAATTACAAGAGCGCTGCAGGCAAACGGTTCTCGTTCCCATTGAAATCTCACGAATTCTAACAGTGTCTTAAATAGGTAATTATTCGAGAATTATTTAACCTCTTCAAGGATACTGGTACAGGTGTATGTATCGCATATGTTTGTCGAACATGTAACAATTGAAGAAGACCTTGAAATTTGGGCAAAAAAAAGAAAAATTTGTTTAGAGGTTTTTATTATTATCGTCGTGTTCTCGTTTGCAATTTTCTTCCAGTTTTAAACTTCTTTCCCACCCCCGTGCAAGAGGAGTGCCTATCCCAGGACAAACGGCGACAGGGCTTATGCATGAACACGTATGAGTGTCGCATTCAGCAGGGGAAGTCCCATGGACCGTGTGCACTTGGCTTTGGCGTGTGTTGCATATGTAAGTACAAACTGTTGTTCCCAATTCATTCGATGTGTGAACGTTTCGTAGATTCTGTGACAGGAATATCCAGCAGCCGTACAACAGCCGATCGTTCCCTGAGCATGATTAAAATTTCGTACGCTTTTCGTTCGATATCGGTGATTAAACCAAGGGGGCGTTTGCACGTTGCGTGTAATGCATTTTTTTCATTTACTCAACCGATCAACGTTCCATTTCATTCCATTCTTCCGATGGCTGTTAAAATTCATACAAACTCGCGCCGAATCGAAATGACTTTTAAGCGATAAAGTGCGTTGCACACGTTGCTCTTATAGATTTCACGTTAAATAGTTCATCCGAGCAATTTACGAGCATTATTTTACAATTCGATTCTGTACTTGTTAGAATTTTTGATCGTCAATGCAGTTTCAGTCGAAACATTTTCATCTGTCGACGAGCTTTCGTATGTTGCCGTGTAGTTTATTTGAAGTCGATGTACAGCTTTTAATACGCGAAAAAGGGGAACGGGTAATTTTATAAATTCACTCAAAAAATATATACATTGCCTCCATTTGATTTTCTACCTTATGTACAATAATACTTTGAAAATTTTTGCATTTCATTTTTCCATGGACAAAATTTGATAACGATTGCCAGTTTGTCGTAAATTCGATGTTTGCATTATATTCTACTATATTTCTATTTTACGCCACAAATTACAAATTAATATTCCAGAATTCCAGGTGTAACGTTTGCCTAATACAAATAATTAATTACTCGCGATCAAAATTGCAAATTATTACTCAATCGAATGTAACGACACACCGGTGGCAGGAGTTAATTACCTGTTCGGTATACGGTTTGCTATGTTGTTAAATTTTCGATACTGGATATATATTTTATTAAAACTGTACAGAAAATATTCAGGAACCATGAATTACCAGACCGATGTAACATTCTCAGATCCACCGTACTGTACGATGTCGCGTGTTATGAATTACTCATTCAATAATACATTTGTTACGTATTTCGGGCAAATTTGATTTTCTATGAAAAGGTTCGGGAAACGTTTTCGAATTCAATATAGCACTGATGGATTTCCAATATGTAAGTCGATACGCGGGTCACGTAGGGTCGCTCCAAAATCGGGCTCCATTTAAAGTATTACAAACGTAATACCACGCGTCACGATAAACGATGAAATTTCCACCGTGTATGCAAACACACGCGCTAACAGAGTTCCACGGATTTCTTTTATCCTGAAAATGAAATAAAACTTCCATTATCTGCACTGGGTGTTACCCACCTACACCGTGTACCGCGAATCGCAAATTGCTCAGTCTTCTGTATGGAAGCACGTACACGTTCTATTTTCATTTCGCGTGAACATTTCACGGATATCGTGTTTGAAACTTTCCTACGCGATGTATACCGCCATTAATATCGCTAGAGTGAACCTGCTCAAAGATTTTACCACTTTCGTGTTGGAAAACTTTTATCACACTCTATATACGTTAGACGATTATAATCGAATAAGTTGCGATCGCTGAACAAACGCGTAGCTTCGTTTTACACGGTACATTTTGTGTAGAACAAGGACACCGAGGTGTAACAGAAACAAGTGCACGATTACAATATTTAGGTAACGTTGTAACTAATTAATTTAAATAGAGGCTTGTATCGCCATCACTTCGAAGTCCTACTTGGAAAATCGTCGATACCTTCGTTCGAGCAGACATCCGATTTCGCTTTCTATAAGGTATTTGCATTTCATTTGGACGGTGACCCAATCATCGACACTTTCGATGTATTTCGTTAACGCGATAATTGGCAATATGGGAAGTGAATATTCTTCAGAATTTTAGACGATTTTCAAAAATTGTGTCACCGGATTCGAATATTTACCGTATCAATCGATTGGTCGGGACCGAACTCCGTGTACCGGCGTCTGCGGCATTAATTCAGTTATGGTGAACGTCGATTATGGTTAACGGTATCACGATAGCTGCGGCGTCGACGGGAACGATCTCCAAGAACGCGTTCTCCTTGAGCGCGGATAAGAAACCTGGAAAAAGAACAGGAGAAACAGGAGGAACGAGAGGAACGGCTGATACAAGCTCGCGTGCCCAGGGAGAATGTACGGCACAAGTTATACAGTTATTTAATTGCCTGGCGACTCGCTCGTGTGTCCCAGATAGATGATCGTCTCCGCGTTTCGTCGACCTTTTCGCCAATTACTTGTTTTTTTGGGATCGTCTTCCAAGATCTCGTGAACACGTCCTTGGAAACAATCGCGATTCCGCTCTCGTTTATCGGTGATCACGAGCTATCAACGAGTGACACGTCGAAGTAATGAAAGAACCGAGAAGTAAAGATGTTTTTACTTCTTAGTGGATGTTGCTGTAACGTAGAGTGACAAGTTTTGAACAATTATATCGGTTTGAAGAAACGAGCAAAATGTAGAGGTTTACGTGTATTTCGGAGGGTATATCGAACCTCTTTAGAAATTGGAAAAGTTTCGATATAATCAGAGTTTTTGGGTAACCGAAGGGAATACAATGTTGATATTCGCTCTAGATTGCTGTGGCTTGAACGTGTACTGAATTTCTGAGCGACGGTGCGATATTAGTTTCAAAACTTCTTTTATTAGAAATTTATTTGCAAACCATAACGTGAATGGACGTCGGTATTTCACGTGATTCACACTGATTCCAAATAAAACTTTTGTCTATTTCACGTCCTAATGTAAATTAGTTTTTCACTTTCAGAACTACACTTCGTCAATCCCGATGATATACAACAACATTTCTTAATGAGTCAGACAGAAACATGCGAAAGCGGTTTCTCCTTCAATCATAGCGGTAAAATTCGAACGATATCTCGAAACGTATCCATAAAAGTGTTAACCTTGAACATTGTACCGTTTACCGCCTACCTGGACGAAGAAATATTGGTCTGTGTCATAATCTTTCCGATGGCCGCATTTTAATTACCACTTGATCGTTTTTACGAACGACTTGGAGAGAAAGTATTTTGCATGGAGGGTACAGATCCTTCAATTGTCGGTTTGTAGCGGCAGACGATTCCACAATCATCGGATCTCCTGTTTTACATTCGAGTTATGCATACTGGATATGCTGTTTAGAAACGAGTACGCAGTTTCGACCAGTTTCCGAATGCCTCGACCTTGTTTTTCAACGAGACTGCTTTAAATTCGCATGGAGAGCTATCTTAAAATATCCGTGGCTCAGGATCGGCTGAAAACTGTTTCTAAGTTCACGATAAAAAATTAATCAAATACTTGTATACGAATTATCGTTAAAAGCTCGCGATGAGGAAAAGGAACCGACTATTGAGATGCGTAATATTTTCTTGGTCGCCTCGATATTACTCGATAAAAGAAGACGGACGAGGGTTGAAGAAAGACGAAATAAAAAGATGCAATGAAAAGGTTAGGTCTTAAAGACCTAACGAGACGGCTTTCCGCAGAGACACCGCTCTATCAATTTTTAAGGTTGCCCACTGGCTTGTTTTCCGAGCGAAAGAGGGAGAAAAATGTCCTCGTGGAACTGCTAACCGTTTCCTCGGGGTCGGAGCCAGCTGAATAGAGTCCCCGTGACTCTTAAACGACCGCTGAATGGCTGAATGTGAACTCATTATCGGAGCTTGGGGCTGCTTACGAGAGCGTCACATTGCGATTAATAATCCGCCGTGAAAATGGTTTGCTCAAAATTTCGAACTTTCCCAAAATGAACTTTCATAACTGCCTGTTAGCGGTTTCGCGCGACGAAACTCCTCCAGTTAGCTCGCGCTAATTGTGCACCGAAAATGTTAATTGCGTCGGTCGGTCCAGCTTTCAACGGCATTATTTTCTCACGATCAAAACGATTTCATCTTTTTTTTCTCGGAATACGATTCCTCGCCTAACGGTGTTGGACGTTCTAAGTTCGAACGATGGTCGTTTTTCGTGAATCATCGCTAATATATTTACTCGAACAGCGTCGAAAACATGTACGGGCAGATGTTGTTCAATCTCGAGTCGCAATCGTTGATCTCTTCGCGTGTTTTTGGCGCGAAACTGGTTTCTTGGCATTAATCTTTGTCGCATTGTGCGCGTAAACACGGTACACGTATAAGTAATGTCGCGTCGCGCATCATAATTCATCGTGTACCGTTGTCACAGTTTTCCTGTTGTAGGAGTACAGTAAACTTCTTTTCCCGTTATCATGACCACGGGAACATAAAAATATCAGAATATCCACGGCGTATAAGAGAACGAAGAAGAGCGGTGCACACGGTCAATGGTCGATTGTTCGAATAGTTCGCGAATATGGACGCTCTATGAAGGGATGTGGAAGATAAAATTCAAATGCTGTACCAATACGCTGAGTCGAAAGAAAATCAACAGATGATTTGATTCGTATTAGTTCGATTCTAGCGGCTACGGACTCGCGACAATTACGAACGTTATCTTCTCAATATTTTCGGCGAGTAATCGACTCGCGAATTCGTTGATTCGCGATATTCTACCGAGACACGGAAGTACCTAAAAGTCAACGGAAAATAAATCTTTATCGATGCACGTTTATCGCGGCACGCTCTGACCACATAAACGCACTCGAATTCATTGTTTCCCGGCCATAGAACAGGCTGAAACTGGATCAATATTTTCGAGCCGGTGTTATCCGCGGAAGAACGATTTTCCGCGCTGCATGCAAATAGCTTGGGCCCCCCTTGTTCCTCCTCTATGCTTTGCGCATCGTTCGCCTTTCGTTTCCTTAAGAAATTAACTCCTTTGTATTCCGAACCGGTGGAAACAAAAATTAACGGAAGCGAGTACGTCGCTTCGTCAGAGAAAGACATACTTTTGCTGTCGATGTTTGTTATTAAAGCTTGAGTTGTTATTAAAATCTGTGGACAATAGAGAATTTACATTAAAATTGACACATTGAAGTTTTTGTTTGATAGACAAGTAATTCAGTTTTATCCGTTTCTTTGACACCATAATCGTGTAATAATTCCTTGCGTAGACCCTAGTATTTTGTTTTCTGTTGTTTTTTTTTTTCTTATGTCATCAGTCACGGCAAGTTGCGCGGAGGAGGTGCAAAATAATCTGACCTACGTGATCAGTCCTGGTTTTCCCAACCTCATCGACTGGCCCATGAACTGTTCGGTGGTCGTACGGAAGATCGATAGGCAGGTCAGCCAGCTCAGGATCGATTTCGTCCACTTCAACATAGTAAGCCACGCAGTTCTATCATTCTTTGCTCCACTAACGGCATGTTAACCCCAGAATACTACGCATTCGTGATTTCAGCGACACCCATTTCCCTCCCCCAAAGCAAACATCACTGACCACCACGACACGGGGCACCGATGTGCTCCCAGGACGGAATTGTTGATCTTTAATTGCCAACTCGACGGTTCGGTAACCGAAATACCTTTCCATCGTTCTCCACAGTCTCCCTTCGTTGATATTTCACGATCCCCAAAGGGGGGAGGAGACGTGTTCGCTAGAAAATTCAGGTGTGTCGACGCAAGTAATAGGGTCGTTAGAAATTAATTGGAAAACGGGGGCGAAACGAATGAATTTTTAATTCGTTACATGGGAATGTTTTACAGCCTTTACAGGTGTAAAAAAAGATCAAGTTTCTCTTCGAGCATGAGAAACTTCAACAATTCGATCAACAATTTCCGATTAAAACTTGTATTAATTTAAATACTCAATCATGACCATTAAAAGACCCATGAACGGCCATCGGTTCTGAAAAACCGCAGAGCTGTTATTTTTCGGATTCGTTTTTGTTCGCGACAAAAATGCGAAAAGCGGCGCTTGGAGCCGTAGAAAACACGCCAGTTTCGCGGAATTCGATCACCGATGAGAAACTGATAATAAACTGCGTAAAAACACTGTATCGAGTAACGTAACTCTTCCGCTCGCATTAGAATCACGGAAGGTTTATTTTATTTTGTTTCGTTAACCGTGTTGCAAACTTCTCGCGCGGTTACTCGCGATTACTTTTCCTTTAATATTTCATAATACAAAAGGCTCTTTTGTATCGCGCGGCAGATGAAACTTGAAACTCTCCTCGACAGGGTAAATTAAGTTATAAATTCAGAATTTTTAATGGACTTCCAGCGAACTTGTACATCTTCTCGGAGTTCATGTTAATTTAAGCAACTTTTACGCTAAACAGTTTCGAAAATAATGCACACGCCTGGAAGCTATAAACAGATACGAGTAAAAGCGATACAGAGCCTCGGTCGTAAGAAAAAATATCAACATTCGGAGAGCAGTTATCAAACGTCGTTCAATAATCGAGTTAATAAAAGTCTCCGCAACCATTCCGGTCGACCAGGAAAAGAGCAAAGAGAAAAACTAACATTTCAGTTTTTCATTTATCTTTGAAACGAAGTGAGCGAAAAGCCCTCGATTATTGATAAACCCGTATAATGCATTCGTTCGTTATTGGCAATCGTTTGAAGTTCCACTATTCGATTAGCATTCTTTAAACGGTTCGATTATTCGAACGCCTTAAATCTGCGTAAACGTTCCACAGGCAACGAGTAAAATATCGCTCGATACTAGACCATTTCAATTTAATTACGTCTCGATTAAAGTACTCATTTTTTCCTAAACGAGGCAATTCATCGAAAGAACTCTTTTGCCCGTTTCTCGAGTCTCCCGATGGTTAATTAATGAGCCGTGAAAATATACATCGACGGATCAAAAGCGGTCACAATCTACTACTGGCTTAAGTATTCGAATAGCGTGGTGTACATACATACGTGTATTGGTCGACTGATAAAAATCGCCCGCATGTACTGCACGGCTTGTTCATTCACGAGACTTATCGATCGTCGTAGGGTCAACCCAACGCTAGGACGGGCGTATGTGACGAAGATATCATGGAAATCAGAAATGGTAGGAGCGTGTTTCAAATGTGCGGTTGGAACAGTGGCCAGCATTGTAAGTAGAAGTTCCTTCGTGCTTCGCATTAACATTTATAATTTACGCCACAATTGCATATATACGGAGAAGGACGAAAGTATTCGCACGGCACGGGGGCTGCAGGTACTAACGTCGCGCGTCGGTCGCCAGACAAATATTTGACTTCGGACGAGAACGTGTAAACTGTGCTTTGGATTTATGGATTAAGTGTCTCACTGATTTTGGGGACCACGTTTGACATTTTATTTTAAGAAAACTACTAGATCAACAGCTTTCAAATTTTGTTTCAGTTTTTCAGAGAAGTTTCACAAACTTCCCGGGTGATTAATAAAACGAATCCGAGTAATGAATCTTCGCGAGAACTCCGTACATCACGATTAAAATCTTGGTAACATCGCTGCAACGAAAAAGCGAGAAATAGCAATTAATCTCTCGAGCAAAAACGTAACGTTTTTTTAAAAAAAGAGAAATAACTGGCAGCGAACACTGAAAAACGATACCTCCGAGAAACTTTCTCGACTTTGACGTCGAAACGTTACGTTCCGTAATAAATAACTCCCGTTCCGAGACTAGCGAAAACTAATCTGAATGATCGTACTTCATCGTCAATCTCCGTTTCGATCCTCTTTGAAATTATTTCATCGAATCGAATCGTCCTGTTTCCAGTATACGTAGACTTGGACGAAGACGATCAGTCCCTGACGTTGGACTTTCGCTTACCCAGCGATCTGCAGTCTCGCATGTGGGAGATGCGAATCGTTCAACTAGCTTTCGAGCAGCGTGCTCCGAGCGGATGTCTTCAGCACTACCATGGCGTCAACGGCACCCTGAAGACGTTCAATTACTTGTCGAACGGCAGATTCCTTGCGGACCAAGATTACCTGATCTGCGTTCGCCAGGAAAGAGGGATGTGCGGGATTTCCTACGTACCTTGTACGCCGGACTCCTTCCGGATCGGTCCTCGAAGGATGCAGGCGACGAACGCCAACGATATCAACGCCAACAATACCAACGCCAACGCGTCCCTTGATGAGAACTCGGTTGGAAACTCCACTGCCCAGAACACGACCAACGATGACAATTCTGTGAACAACACGGAGGTGGATATGGAAGGATCAGGAACGAATCCCATGGAACAAGAAGTTGCTGCTTCGATGAACGACTCGAGTCCCACGATGCAAGACGCCGTCTCGATGAACACGGAGTCTTACGGGCAGCCACGGTGCAGGGACAGGGTGCTCATCCCTTGTGACTTCGAGGAATTTATCACGGTAGTATTCTTTGGTTTATTTCTAGCGGAACGCTGGGGGATCTGGAGAAGGTAGTAAATTTACAAAATTGTGTTTTTTTCGGTTTTTCCTCTTGGAGAATGAGGTTGCATTGTTGGGGTATAGAGAGATCAGTCCTGGGAGGAGTTGTAAGGGGAATTGCGCGAGACGTTTTAATCAGCCTCTGCGGAGTCTGTGACCAAGCAAACAGTACCTACTAGACGTTGTCCATATTCTTATTTACGATAGGAAGCTTTCTCTAACCCAACACTGACCTCTCTTTCTTTTTACAATACATACGTTAATCAATTAACACTGAATCTACCACGACCGGTCAAATGACCGTTTTCAAATTTTTGTGTACAATTCCTATACGATAGAAATAGTTACAAATGAACGCCGGTAGGTTTAGTGTTAACATTGTTACCACCCATAAGAGTATCGTACAAACACCGAGTACGATTGCTTTCGTTATTTATATCGGACTGTAAATTGTAAAAAGAAATCTCCGCATTATAAATTGCGGCAACATAGGAAAACCTGTTTTCCTCTCTTAACGTCGTCCATTTTTCATGACCGAAGTTTTCGAGACAATATGCATAATGCAGGTCCGTGCAACCTCTGCAATGCGAAAAATTATGATTTACACGGCGAAAAATGGGAGAAGCAACGTCCGAGCCAAAAGAACTTTGCTTTATCAACGCGGAAAATTATATCTTGCGTTAGTAATTATTTTTTAGTAATTCAAGGCTTTTCATAAATTACTTGCCGCAGCCTGGGAACAACGAGGCTGGAATTTGCAACCTAGAGCACTGTGGTGACTCTCTGTGCGATCAAAATGAGGTGGACGAAGAAGGAAACTGCCGCGTGGAGACTTGGGCAACGCCCTTTCGTATAAGGGTGGCTTTTGGTAGTGGACAGGACACAGGAACCACGCTGGAGGACAATATTGGCATGTGTCTCGTGTACGAACAATTACCATGCGTGTCTTGAACGAGCTAATGATAAATGGGCTCGGTTAGTGGAAAGGTACGAGTCTGAAATTCGTACAGGTCATCCGAACATTGATACCCTTCGTTCGATCGATCATAGCTTCGTGCGTCAGTTCCACACGGAGATTAATTCGTTACCAATTGTGGCATACTCGTTTTTTTTTTTTCGATATATCTGACTTATTACCTTATTTTCAACGTTTAATTTAAGCTTAGACCGATACGTGTGCTGTGTATATATTTTCTTATTTCTTATCTTATTTATTTATTTATATAGTATCGATAAGAGAAAAATATAGTTACGAATAAAGCTGCAAACGTCACGAAAATATATTCATATTTCAACGAATCACCGACATATTCATAGTAACCTCGACCTAGAATTTATACACGCAGATCTACGCAAAAACGTTAAATAAGAATGAGAGCACGGTGGAAAACATCAAAATAAACGTAAAAATATTTAAGTAGATCTTGAGATAAATTCAAAATATGTTTTCGCGAGGGTTGGGGCTCTCATTACAAAACCAAATGTCTGCCTTTCTGCTCTCTGTGGAAATAGCCAATTAAAATTCTACGACTCCAGGTTCTCTCGGTTTCCATGCCTCAAAGGGTAGTTTGGGTCTGCAGGGGTTGCACTACCTTTACAGCCAAAGAAAACGGGAATAATCCTTTTTTTTTTGTTAAATGTTAATCTGGCCTATTAAAAATAATATAGAACAAGAATGGATCTATTGGAATAATCGTAAAGTAAAATGTGACGTCTTGGGAGGTGCAAGTGAGAATCGAAGACTCGCGCGAGACACGAATGTCAAAGAGTTAAATAGTCTTTATTTACAAACGAACTAGCTTAAATCACAAACGCAGCGCACAACTCTCGATACAATAATAGATATATAATTCGCCTTTTTTATTTTTTCTTCCGCTTCATTTCTCGCGATTACACGTCGCGATCATCGGCCACGATACGCGCGCAAAATCTCGCCCCTGGTTCCCTCGAAGACGAGCAAAATTTTTATTCGGACACGAATCTAGAACAACGCGTACAATGTAAGCAAGATAAAAAGAAGATTTTGTCTATTATCGACACAGGCAAAAGAAAAATTTCAAACGCAGAATGGACACCACGTTGAACTAATAAAATCCTATTTATATAATATATAAATTTTTTTTTTATGTGATTTTTATTTTAATATGAAGAAAATGCAATTTTGCCTGTTTCTACCTTTTTTTCGGGAAAACGTCTCATCTTCCATGTCCTTCGTTTCCTTTCGAGGGTTCAGCTTGAAAGGTAGCCAAAAAACGCGTCCTCGAGGGGCCACTAGCGCGGCAGACGCGGACGATGATCACGGAAATCGCAGCGATAACGATAATGATGTTACAAGAATAAATTATAATGCTATTAATACAATAATGAATGTTACGTCACGCCGGAATTTCAAAAGAAACACGCTCCGACCAGAACACGTTACGGCGTGACGTTACGAGCTCATCATTTATCATCTGTGTTCCATCACCTTTTTCTTCTTCTTCTTCTTCTTTTCTATCAACCCTGGAAAGACTGAGGAGGGAGTTTGTCGAGCTCACCGTTTAGAAAATCTTAAAAACATGTTATTCCTCTCGCCACAAAATATTTCCAAAAAATTATTTATTGTCGCTTACGTGTTTAAGATTGATGTTTAAAAAGCGCGAAAATTATTATTAATCTTAAAATAGTAGTTCTCAACCTCTTCGCTGTTGGATCACTCAGAGATAGGAAAAAAGCCTTCGTGTTGGATCAACTTGGCTATTCATTTTTTAACAATTACACTTATAAATACGTGTAAAAATTAAATACAGAAGTAAAAAAATCTCACGGAATTGACCACAAAAGCCAACAAGTTCGAATGCCTGACGTCTTCTTCGATTTGCACATCTAGAACAATATTGCGCTACGTCGTACAATACAACGCTGTAGCATGTTATTATTCTAGACGGAGTATACCCCAGTGCGGCGGTTAAAAGGTTTAAAAACGTTTTCCAAACAAAAATATGGAAAACGTGGGCTCGACCAGCCCCCCTCTCCTTAATTTCGTCAACGTAACAGCAGGTGGGCTCAGTCTTTCCAAGGTTGGCAGTGTAACCGTAACGATGAATAATAATAATGATAATGAGATTAGCGATAATTATGATCCAACGATGACGACTTCTGCGTAACGACGAAGTCATTTTATCCTCGACGCAGACGTCGTCGGCGTCGCTGCCGTATAAGAAAAGTCGAATCCCTATCTACAAAGTCAAAAGGACCGATAAAACTTGTAAAAGGGCGGTGGTCATTGAACTCGTGTCTCTCTGTAGATTGCTTGGATATATGTTCGCGTGTTTGTGACTGTGTGTATTCGTGTGTGCTCGTGTGAATCAGTTGTGTACAGGTTTCTATACAGAGTCCTCGGATACAGCACGTGTCGCTCCCCTGATACCGTACTGTACTAATTCGTAATGAGCTTTTTCTTCTTCTTCTCGCTCTCTCTCTTTCTCTCTCATTTTCTTTTTTATTTCCCTTATTTCACCGGGAGGGGACACAGTTTACCCCTGCGAATCCGATTTAACGAAACTACTTTGCGCCATTGTCGGCTCTCTTCGATTTTTAAAGCGCCGTGATATGTGTACTATTTAGGAGAACTTGGTGAACTGTGTTTTCACTACAATGCAATTGCCTCCTTTTTTTTGGGGGGGGGTGGTGGGTTTCTTGCGGACCCTATCACAGGGTGGGCCAGCTGGGCCTCGAATTTACACGGAAACGATAGTTGAGAAATTTGTATGCACTCTTACTTTGTACAGAGAGTTGGTACGGAGAACGATATTTCTCCTGACTCGGATCTCCTAGATGGACTAGTGATTTTTGTTTTTTACGAATTTCTTGAGTAGAGACTATTCGACGAATGATAACCACGTCATCGCGATAGTACTGCACTCTGTATCAAAATTGCACGTATTATACAAATCAGAGTTCCCTTTTTTTTTTTGGAATATGTCGAGGGCCTCTAGACAAACGCGAAAGCCTCAAGACGGTGAACATGCCTTCTTCGATTTTTGAAAGGTCTCGTCGCGTCGATCCGTGGACGTACGGGTTGAATCGTCCTATAGCAACCCTTAACCCTTCGGTCTCGCACGGTTGTTGATTCATCGAGTGAGCGTTCAACTTGCGTCGAATCGTAATTTTCGAGCTGATTGATTTAATATTTCGGAGAATAATGCGAAGCGGCCTGGAGCCACTCGACTTGCACTTTTCCTCCTTTTATTATTACGTTCCAGTGTCATTAACGCCACTTTCCCGTGAAATTGTGCTCTCGTTCTCGTCACATCGTGATTAAGATAATACTTCGTCTTCCGTCACTTGGAAAATATAACAAGTTTTTAAGATATTTGCATGTTTATTAGCAAGCGGTCGAACCACAAGGGTTGACAACGTTTTATATCGGCTTGCACGGATCAAATAACATATTGGAAAGGAAAAAGCATCTATGGAAAAGAATCTCTTTGTAGATGTTCCTTCTGCCAACATTAATGTTCTTATCATCGTTCTGAAATTACACAACGAAGGGAGAGCCGGACAGTTTGCTCCCGGATTCGTAACAGTGATTTTTCGATTTGCAAAGTCTTTCGTGTATATATTTTCCGGTCGAGCATGCAGTGAAATGCTGACACACGAACCGCGAGAAACATGTGTCAGCACGTTTCAGCATTTAAATGCTAATTTTTACCTATGACACGTGCAGATCGATCAAATACTTACTTGTTAGAGTAGTAGATGTTCATGAATATTTATCAAGTACAGGCCTCTATTAATTCGATCGTATCACGCGTTTTCACACGGCTTTAAAAAGTCCGGAGGAAAAATACAATCGCTTTGGAACTTATGCAGCGTAGATTTTACTTTTTCGAGGAGAAATTTTATATACATATATCATTTTTTCAGCTTCGTTTCTTTCGTTTGTACGACAGGTTCGTTCTATGAAAATTCATAAAGTACAGTTTACAACAAAAATTTAAGCGAATGCAAATTACTGCATACTTTTTATAGACTGGATTAAACAAACTACCTGTAAAAGAGAGTAAATCCTCTTTGTCGATAACTGCAGTTTCCTTTTTTCAGTGCTTAGGAGGAAGAGCTTTTATTATGCAAAAGGGGAATCCCCCATTAGTTCCACTCAAGCTACTGTGAAACAATGTTGTGGAAAATCCACGCTATACGACGGTTATCAACGTTTATTACGTAGTGTTAAACCGTGTTCTCGGGGTTCTGTGCACTAGAAGGGTTTCCTCTCGTATAAACTAATATTTCATGTCGCACGTTCGGTGCATAACCAACGAAAAGTGTGAATTCAGGTCTTACATACATCAACGAAGAAAAATTCAGGTGATATTTATAATTTGAGTTGCATACAACTTTGTTAGCACACGTTCCCATCTACTCTCTGTTCTATCTCATCATTCGTTTCTCCGAGCCCGTTTCCACAATCCTGTCAATTACGGATCTGTCAATTACACTCGACCACATTGTCAGCGATTGGATTCCTTTCACTATGCAGAATGTGTTTGCCGATCATCCGGCAGATTTATTCATCGTCGATGGAACAATGTATCGGTAGTCGCAAAGCTTGCTTGCATGCAATGTCAGACTGCTTGCTTTCCCCGCGTGTATGTATACTGCTGGTCAAAACTCTTCGAACAAATGTCGTTTTCAACGAATGTTTATCCGTCAACGTAAACACGTGACGTTTTCAATTCCACAAGCGACTGTTCCAGGTCTTTTGAGCAGCAGTGTATGGTCTCTATGGGCCATATGATTTTAAAAAGGTCTACAATTTTGTTACCTACCTTTTCATATGAAACCACAAGTGTACATCGTAGCTGTTTGATAAAAACATGAAATGCGGGCATTCGCAATTCTACGCTTTTAGTCGTTACAGTTTGAAATTGGCTTCTATTAGTTTTTTTTTTTTAGTTCGTTGCAATATTGCTCGAAGTTTATTAATATTAAAGCAGTGTGTCCTCATTGGAAATAAAAATTCATATTTTAAACTGCACCTCGGTATATCCATATTTTGATATTATAATTAATTAGTAAACGCTGCAAAATTTATTACCGTACGTTATCATTATTTCGCAAATTTATCCAGTCCCTTATTGGTGTTATTACTGTATATTTCCATTCGTTGACTGTTACGTGATATTTCTAGAATCGTGAATTGTATTACTTCGAACATTTATGTTGACGTCTTCAACAGATGAATATAAAAAAGTTTACTCATTACTCTTTTCATCTACTCTTTTTATTAACTTTCTTTAATATGTACACTAATTGTATACCCTGTTGTACAAGAAATTAATTCGAATTTTATAAAAACGTGAAAATCTATGAACTTTACTTACATAGCTGACAAACAATCGTTTCGATAAACATAGAATATCACAGCTGCAAATGTTGCATACGCTAAACGATAACCATTTTACAAAGCGAGCATAAATTGTAAATCGTACGTACAAATTGAAATTAAAAATTACATACAAATCATCGGTTCGCATGACATAAGGCTATTACAACACCGAGTACAAAATTTCTTTAAATGTTACATGTACTGTCTGCGATGAGAAAAAAATTTGTCTCCATCCACAAAAGTGAATTAATCGCGTACATGGTTTCAATATTCCGTGTCAATCGTGTTTTACCTTTGATGAGTTAGCTCTTCCAGTGTTTTCAATGTAGAGTTTCGCTCTCGTAATATAATTTTTTATTCATTGTTTTCTACGTTTTCTTTTGTGTTTTCGTTTAATATCATTAGAGAGTTTACCGTTCTTGTTATTTCTAATCGATCAAAGGTAAAGCTCTCTCCTGTTTCGTTCTTTTTTATTATGATACGTCGAAAATGAGGTTTTCTCTACTATTTTACTTTAGTTCTATATATTTTCTTCATTAACCCTTTAGGTATCATCCGACTCCTGTACAAACTGATTTCTATTTCTCAAAGTCGCAAAATGTATTTCACTCTTTGCAAGGTTGCCTCTACGACGGCTCATCTTTCATTTGCGAATAATGAAAATTGAAGGAGAACGTGCCCCTGTATTACTGTCGTTTTGTGCCCCGTTTGTCCTCGAGTATTCCCGAAGGCTCTTTTAAATTCACGTGACGTTTTTCGAGTCACCGGTTCGCCCCCTGAATTTTACTGAAATCCTGAAACAATTCTTCTCGTCGATCCACGAGATCGGTGCACCCTATTGGCTGCTATGATATGCTTGACTCGTTTCTCTTTTATGCTCCCTTCTGCCCTCCTCTCGGCCACCTGCTTTGCCATCTTTCCGATACTCCTTCTCTGGTGTGCAAATATATACATTTGTGCCTCAGAGGGAATCTATTGTGCGCGAGTGAGAAGAATGTGACAAGCCACCTCTGTAGGAGGCACTCGTGGGCGAGGTATACAAAACCCACGTGGCGAGGTTTACGACGATGATTTAAGAAGTTCAAATTTTTAGAATCTAATATTTTATTGGATAATATCGTCTCCTTGTATATCCATGCCACGTGAAATAGTAAGGGACGCTGTCGTCCACGGGTGACACATGCGTTCTCTGCGCAGAAAAAAAAAGAGCTTTCGGGTTGAAAAGTAATAGTCAGCCCTCGTGGGTAAAATGTCTCGTCGCTGTTCGAATTCTACTCTCCGGTGATGGCATAATTCCCCTAATTTAGGACTGTTCTCTTTTTCTCCCTGCTGTACACGTGTACGTTGACAGACGCGGAGGATCGCAGGCTCTGGCAGGCAGCGGAGGACAGCGTAATTTTTCTTGAAACGCAATTCGAGGATCACGAGAGGGGGCTGTCGATTGGTCCCGTTGGTATTCAGGGTGCGCATCGTGCGATATACATACATACATACATATATACATGCGTACGTGTACCCATTGTGTCCGTGTACGTGCGCTCTCCTGGGGCGGCAGTCGATCCTCAAATCGAGTTTGCGGTTCCTCTGGTGCCTATGTACGGCGCCCTAGCGCGCACGGTCGTGTGAACGTGTCTATGTGTGTGTGTGTGTGTATGTGCTCCCTTTCCTGGAAGTTTATGAGTAATTTTTCCAGCTACACGTTTTTCTTCCCGTCTCCTGCGGAAGTAACAAAGTTCTCGAGAAAGTTTCTTTACACGCGCGCAGAGAAGCACACTTTCTGCGACGATACCCGTGTCAATGTATGCTCTACATTTGCCGATAGCCATCTTCGACTCGAAAGGCAATGGAATTGTTAAAAAGTCAGAGTGTATTGGTCTCGGGGATGAAAATTCCGCGCACCGTGGGAAGAAAGCGAGGAAGTCGAATTTAAGCAAAATTGTCCGACACCAAGTTTGGCAAAGCAAGAAATACCTTTCCTAAATGAAATTCAAGTTAGGTAAGGATAAATATCTCATTCTGTGCTAAGACCTTATTGCAATTTCGTTGAAAAAGAACGTGGCCGCGTATTACCGCGATTAAAATAACGAAGGATTCTCTGCCTTTAATAATACTCGGAAGAAGAAATCCCCCGGGACGGCAACCAACGAAGACACACCCTGCCCACTTTAACTTGAGATTGGTTGGAGATGAGTAACTCGTTCTACTTGTACTCGTGCAGCAGATGATAACGAAATGATACAATTCTCGATCCCGCTCGACAATCGCAACTGTAAAGCATACATCGATCGAGTACCAATCGACACAGTTTCTGAATTAAAATCACGCTTTGCATTGGCTTATGGTAACGGCAAATGGCAAACATTTTTCAGCGCGGGCAAGTATCTACCAACTGCAGTGTATTCGGTTATTAGTGTTCGTGTACGTGTGTGGGTGGGAGACTAGATGCGGCCGTGCTTGCGGTAAGTGGTTTCCATCGAAATTGTCGATCCTCGACTGGGATTCGGTTTCATTGTTCCTCGAACGCACCACGAACGATATTACATAACGTCTTTTCGTTCGTTGCGGGAAATCCCTGATACCAGTGATATCGTTTTACGTTATCCTTTCCTGCTCGTTCTCGCTACTTTCTTTCGCATTTACAGTACCGTCGACTAGTAACGTTCCTTTAAGAGTAAATTATTGTCGTATCGCGGCGTTCACAAGTTTTTCAAGCTCTTCGTGAGTTTATACTTATACTTTTAGTCTTTTTTATATTCATCTGTATCAATATTTAGGACGTTTCCGTATTGTTCCTGTTTATCGAACACCTCGTGCCACCGTGAACATTTTCTGTTCCCCCTTCGTGGCACGGTATCTTTGGATTTTGCTCGTTTCAAAATTTAAGAACCAGACCGCTGGTAATATTTATGAACTATCTGATGGACGGATTAAATCAATTTTACAATTTTGTATTCTTGCGATTACGTGGATGACCTAATTTCGCTGAAAATTCAATGGCGATGTACTGCGTTTACGAGGACTAGGATGATGATTTTTCCAAAGAACGTAATCGTTCTTCGTGAAGAATGCTAATGACTTGATTTACTTAAATTATCAGAGTTTTTTTTTTTTTTTTGCACGCGTTAAATGTGCAAAAGAGCCGTATGTATCGTGAAATTTGAAGGTGGATACTCGCGAAACGATATCACTGGTTTCGAAAGGAATCTCGATCTGAAACGTGGCTGCCGTCATATTGATACGACAACTCAGGACTTCTGAGCTCCTTAACGGTTAAACGGTAAAGGCTGTTTTCTATTTATTCGATTCAAAGCGAGCGACGTACGAAAATATTATCCAAACTCGGGAACCTCGGTAACACGATGATTGCCAAAGGACATTTCTGAACTTTCTTGGTTTAACACTGTTTACCTTTGGGCTGTAGGAAGATTACCCGTCGAAGTTGTTCCTTCAAACGCTGCTGAAACGCGTATATTTCAAGTAAAAGAATATTTAAAAAATTGTTTTAATTTATTTCCAGGATCGCTTGACGCGATTGGCAGTGTATCCAATGTATTTAACACGTTCTGCAAATGCGACTTTTGTTCTTGAAAAATTAATAAAAGTAATCTATAATTTGATTTCCTCTTCAAAGTTTTATATTCGTCTTGTTTCGAAAGGGATTGCGAAAATCGTATAAATAGAAAACACCCTCGAAAAACAGTTGAAACGGATAGGTGCGGAGCTGCCTGTATCGTTCGTACCTGGATCACGGTTGATCCGAATATTTACACGTACGTGGGCGTATGTGCGTGGTAAACTTTGAGGGTTATAAGTGTGCATGCGTGCGTGTACATCGAAGATCCCCCATCCTTCCGTCGCTTGTATCACGTTTGTACATTGAAAACGAGATTCTGTGTGCGTTATTCTTCGGCAGATTTTAATTTATTTCTACGCATGGGATGAGAGTCATAGCGACGTGTAAACCAAAACGAATCCAAATATTTTTTTAGCAAGTTGCTTCTAATGGCTGAAATGACGTTTCGAATTTTGGGTGAGGTTCAACCGTTACCGATTTTCTATAAAAATTTGGTTATATTCGCGAGGTCTTCTGTTCAACACGTACCCATTGGAACAAGAGCGATTTATCATTTATCGTTCCAATCTGTACACTGTTTTCCTGTTTCGAGATTAACCTGCGCACGACAGGAGCTGAATTAATTTCAATTAGCGATATAGAATATCATCGAATTAACGTTGCTAAATTTTCATTAATTTTCGTACTTTGATAAGCGTTTCCATGATTATAGATTGACATACTACCTCTCATGGTACGCGATGTTATCCGATTGATGGAGCGATTGTAAATTAATATTTATGTTTAATCGTAAGAGTCTGAATCGTACATTTCAACGGAGTGCAACGCGGAAGGAGAATTGGATATTTATATCGAGGGACAAAAGGTCGAATGTTGCTCTCAGAAGACACAAATCCCGCAACTATACCTCTCAATGCAAAGTCACTTCTAAGAAGTATCGGCTCCATTTTTGAGAGTGCACCATTTTCATGGAAACGTTGTTCAAAGCAGCTCGATACATTTTCTATATCAAAGTCGACGGCAGGTCGTGGAATAATCCGTGCGATTTGCAAATGTGTTCTGAATCGTCGGCAACAAAATTTTGACGTTATCGTTATTGCTCGAGATTACGAGGTATGAAAAATTCCCATCGTTCCTGGGCTGGGCGTTTCATTTCAGCCAATCGTCGAAACAACTTTCAAATTTTTTAGGAGATGTTCTATTCTGTTTATGAAAGCGAGCGATAGAGGTGGGGAATCTCGTCGATATGACGTCGAACTTCTGATAAAAATTCCTACCAACGTCCCAAACGCAAATATTTAAGCTCAGCGAGAATTCGCCAGTCTCATTACGCGCCTCTTGCAACATTCACCGGATACATTCAGAAATTTTTGGCAGCGAAGCTGTGCACTCCGGTACATAAATTATTCGGCTTTGACGAAGAGGAGGCTTTCGCCCGGCCGTGCCTCCGAGCTGACAGCCGATGAATATTCCCCGTCAGTTCAAACGAGTCTCTGCACTCTCTCCCCGTGCACCAACTCTTCTCCGCAGCTATCGTTTGTCCCCACCAGAGATGGGCAAAACTCCTATCCAAATACAACATTCGAATAACGAATAAAGGATAAACAACATTTCATCTGCCGCTCGTGGATGAGAACTGATACAAATACTTGGATCGTTCGAATAAACGTTTTGCTCCGTCTCTGGTCTCGATTTCGAGACTCTCGTTTAAGGGTGTACTCCGATTCGTTGCCTCGAAAAGTTCTGGGTTCGCGCCTAGAACTTTCGGAAAATGCAACAAAACTAAAGGGAAATTGACATTTTCAAAGTTTCTAGTCAGACTACCCCCTTAACGCGACTTCTGGCATCGGTATAAACTCGGACACATTCGGGTTTTTCGGTTTGCGATGATAACGACGAGGCAAGAAAAGAAAGGAAGTCGGGGAGTGTTGAATTTTTGGGGAGGGGGGCGATTACAGGAACGTATGACGCGAAAAAGAGAAGTATGTAGGTACAGTCGAATCGATGGATCCGCGAGAAATCCCTGAACATTGTTCGATCGGTGCGCACGAAATGTCGGACGTTTCGCGCGATGATTTGCTCGATTTTTCGGCTGTTGACGATTCAACGCGAGAGTTTTTTCGTTTCCGAGAGACTGGCGTACGCTGCAGCTGGACGCGTTTTAATTTAAAGCACCAATTAATTGCCACCGTTATTCGTTTCTGATTTGCCGCCCGCTTCTCTGCTCTCAGCGGTCAAGCTGCCAAGATTTTTACGCGTTCATTTTAAACATTTCAGTTCTCGCGATGGCAATTTGTTCCGGAAGATTGCGGGAATTTCACGCGCAATTTGCTCCTATTCATGGGAATCTGTGAACCGTCTCGTCTCATTATGCGTGCCAGGGCTGGGCAAATTTTAATCGAAGCAACGATCGACGATCGCGATTAAAATAGGTAATCGATGCTGTAATATTTCTATTTTACCGCGATATTTACAGGAACAAAAGCGTCGCGAATAAATTGTTAACACGTTGATCCCAGGGAAAATCTTTTTTTAAAAAGGGAATCGAACAATTGCCTCTACGCTGACAAAAAGTGTTAGAAAATGATGGAAATTATTTTGTTGATTAAATTTTCGGTTCCCTTAATAGTTTCCAATAGGCTGCAAACAAAATTTAATCGCAGTAAACATTTTCAAGAGTATTAGCGCGGCAACCAACGTGTTAAGCAGAGGTCTCGTTCGAATACGATTCTGGTTAGTCCCGACTTCCTCTAGCCCGTCTCCCGTCCGGAAAGTAGAAGAAAGATAGAAGATAGAGCGGTTCTAATAATTCACACAGCGTTATCGTAAAAAGCGTCGCAATTCGTCGCAGTAAAAATCCGACATTTCATCCGTAGCGATCTAATATTCCCTTATAGACCGTGCAATCTTGATACCCGTCTTGAGCTCACTCCTCCGGCGATATTTTCCCTCCTTCCCCCGGCTCGCTCGCTTGCTCTTTCCTCTCACGACTCGGTCATCCCAACGCCCTGGTCGAGTGCACCTCGGCAGTGGCGAGTAGCCTTGGTACCAGCTTTAACCCAAACCTCCGGCTGTCTTGGTCCCGTTAGTGCGTAGGTTAGAGTTCCTCCGGTCCTCCTCTGGAACCCACCGTACAAGAAGAAAAGGAAAAACAAAGACACTAAAGACTTTTGCGCTCGGGTGACAATTACTACTAAATTGGCACACGTTGCGAACGGTTACCGGTTCCCCATTTCCTAGCGAGTTTCCTCCGAGAAACGATAATTGGTGTGCTCTTGATGATCGTTCCGAGAAAGGGGTGTAAATGTTCAGAACAAGGTGTACCCTGACTCGTCTTGTTAGCTCTCGAAGCACCGAATATCGACGAATTTACTACACTGCCTGGCGGAGTGGCAAGAATAGCAAATATACGGTAAACACGATGGATTAATAGGGATGAAGTTTTAGTACCGCAGCTAAAACGAACGTGGGACACGGAAAAGTTTACCGTCCGTTTGATGGGATGTAGAAGTTATTATCTGCTATATCAGCCGTTGTCAGGTAATCGGATAATAACCGAGTTTTACAGCGACCAACTCGATCGGCCGAAGTCAGCGCTAGACGGAAAACGACCAACGTTGGTCACGCGATAGAACGGTTCGATCTGCCGACATATCATGCGAAATCACACATCGCCAGATTTCGATTGGGTTATTCTGAATTCATCGTGATCACGACAAAATGACGACGAACATCTAAATGGAGTTTACGCGAGCATAAGAAATCACTCGAATTCCCTTACTAGTATTCGACGAGTACTCAGCCTCAGATGTCCTTGAAGGAGGACCAACGAGCGAAGACAACCTATCCTCGTTTTGCTATCAACGTCTGTCAAGGGTAGATAATATCAGGTTGCTGCACGTGAAATGTCCGATTTTGTAGAAGAGATTTAAACGTCTGTATTTCTTGGATAAATTAACTGTATCCATAAAATAATAAGCAGCAACAGAATCAGTGCATTTTTTGAAAGTAACAAATTACACTCTTCGAATTGATGAATCACAAGTAGCATCTGGCAGCATAATGCCGTAGCAAAGTGAAGACAACTTACCGGGATCGAATAATAAGAGATTTCGTATGCAACAATCTAATAGTTGATCGTCGAGGACTTACCTGTTTTCGTGGCGAACGAAACATCCTTGGGATGATTGGTCTTGATGGCGTTCATCCGTCTGTTCTGGGGCCCTTGACCTCCAGGGCAGCCAACTCCAGGCGTCTGTCCAAGGCCAGGAGCCAGAGCACCGGTCCCGGATAAAGGTCCACCCGGTGGCATGTGTTGAGGAGCGCAACCCGGTGGGCCCGCAGTCCCTGGCACTCCCGGCATTCCTGGCGGAGCGCCTGGAGCTCTCACTCTTGGCTGCTCGACCGGAAGTACGCGGCGTCTCTTCTTCGGTAGCTTGGCTCGCGCCTGCGTGTGACTGTAATACATCGCAAAGTTGCTGACGATCACGGGCACGGGCAGGGCGATCGTTAATACACCGGCTAGAGCGCAGAGCGCGCCAACGAACATTCCGATGTAGGTCTTCGGCACCATGTCCCCGTAGCCGACGGTAGTCATCGTTACTAGGGCCCACCACAGGCCCAACGGTATGCTCTTGAAATCGTTCTTCGGATTGTACTGGGTGCGTTCCGCGTAGTATACCAGACTCGCGAAGATCACGATTCCAAGGACCAGAAAGAAAACTAAGAGCGTGAGCTCCTTCGCGGAGGCGCGGAAAGTCTGTATCAGGATCTTCAGGCCGGAGGAGTGACGTGTCAGCTTAAACAGTCTCATTATACGTATGATGCTCAAGAACTCGAGGATGTCCGCGTTCTCCAGATGGGAGGCGAAACGTTGCAGCGCCAGATCGAGATAGAAGCTCATCGTTGCCACCATGTCGATCAGGTTCACCGAGCTCTTGATGAATACGCAGCGATTCGGGCTCGCGGTAATCCGTATTAGGAACTCGAATGTAAACCAGGCGTTGCACATGCACTCGATGTAGAAAAAGACGTCGTGAGCGTTCGTGTGCGTTTTGTCCACCGTCCACGAGGTCTCGTTCCCTTTGTTCACCGTCCGGTTCACGATCACCGGCACTCGCATGTCCGGATGCGTCTTCAGGCAGAACGACAAGATCGAGATGCAGATGAAGAGGACCGAGACTATGCTGATCACCTGGCGAACAGTTTTAGAAAATTAAATTACGAACGTGCGGTGACGAGAGTAACAGGGATAAGGTAACTCAATCTACTCTGATCGAGAAGTGGGATTCCATATTGTTACTACAAGTTTCTTGACCGTCCTCAAACTGATACACATTTTTGTTCGCGTACTGCTTCGTCTTCGCGTTTCCCTAAACTTCTAAGTCTCGTTTAGACCATGCTGACCACCTGCGGAACATTTTTAGAAAATCAAATTATGAACCTGCACTGGTGAGAGTAACAGAGACAAACTATCGAGAAGCGGTATCGTGTATCGTTATATATTTCCCGACCGTACAAAAATTTACGCAAATTTTTCTTTGCTGCTTCTTCGCGATTCCCGAAACTTTTAAGTCGCGTTTAAATTCCCCGACTTGTTCGCGGGAAGCCTCTTAACGCGATGGCGCAGTTTAGAAGCCGTGCTTCTTTATGCCGGTCAGGATGTGCCCAAAGTTTCAAAAGGTCCGAACGGGCCATAAAATCTCGGGGGAAGTAGCGCTGGACCGTAAAACTGACGTTGTCAAGGGTATCATCGTCGGTGACGCGAGAATTCTGTCGACAGTTTGCTGGGTTAGAAGATGAATCCCATTACCGCAAATTCAGCGTGGATCTGGCTTTGTAATAACGTTAAAAGTTACGTTACGCCACGTGATCCCTCCGTCGCTATCTCTACGAATTGATTTTCTTCAAAAACTGGCTTTCCTCGAGCGAGTCCTTTTCTTACGGTGTCGCAACGCGACTAGATAATAGAACCTATTATGGCACGGTGCCCAATAAGATATAAGCCTGCCAGATCTAAAAATTTGGTTTCACGAAACGCTAGCGGAAGTTAACCGTCACGGAGTTCATACTTGGATGTTCGCGTGACTCAAAGTATACTTCAAAGTTACATGTTACGATGTAAGAGATGTTAGAAATTTCGTAAAAACGTTCGAACATTTTAACGATTTCCCTATTGTAACAATTTGCATAGAATAACATCAGGATCGATATCTTAATGCGTCAAAAATATAATTTTTGTTGGCTATATTCAAAGGTCCTAACTGCCAATATATAAAAGGAAGTGATAGAAGACGCGCGGGAGGGCTTTATAAGTGACAGCAATTCGATACTGCCTTTATTAACACTTCGGAGAGAAACGGCGTTATACGAGAATATATCCTTTACGAGGAAAAACATACAAAGCTTGTTATCTTCAACGGGAGACACTTTTTATCGGACGAATGACACATATAAGAACCACCCCGCGGAAAAGAAATCCTTAGATTTGGAGAAGCGTAAGGAAAATTTGAATAATACGTACAGTTCGTATAATTCGTTCGCCTCTAATGTCACTTATCTTCTTATATTGATTGTCATGGCTAAAAATACTTATCCTACTTGCGGAGTGTTAGGTTTACATTGTATCCGATATTAGTTGTGGAGTACAACATCATTTTTCTTATATATCGCGGCAAAGTTTCCAAACTCGAAAGTTGGCGTCGAAAACAAATTAAAACAAAGTAAGGGCGTAAAGCGGCCACGTATAAAATAAGGTGGAAAGTTGAATTTGAAATTAAATCTCTCCGTTACAAATATGTAGATTGAAACTACATTTCTATATATAATTGATGCTATTATTGTCTTCTTCTCCGTAAAAACAAAATCGAGCATCGCTTTTACGATTTCACTTACGTCAAACGCGAGCAAATTTTACTTCTCGAGCGCTATGCGTCGTTCATTGGATACTGAAATGGCTCGCGTGAAGTTGTTATCGAGCACAACTTTTTCATCGAACATAAACTTGTTTACAACGGAGTTGTGTCGTTTCGACAGCCGTGCACGTACGACAGTCGGCGTTTTACAGTTTGATCCACTTCTTTGTCACAATCGACGAACCACAAATAAATGAAAAGTTCTTTTTACCGTGGACGCTTCAGAAAAGCTTCCTTTAATTGATTACGTTATTCCCAATCGCAAGAACGAATCCTGTCTCGAGTCCAACAGCAGTCATTTTTATATTGTACCTTTGACACGTTAGCTGCCACGCTAATACTCTTAAAAGTGCCTACTGTGATTAAATTTTATTTGCTGACTATTGGAAACTACATAATCAAACATTTATCGCGATATCTATATTTGTAACTTTATCGAATTTCAAGAATTTCATTCAATTAATTTTCTTTGGCTTTTAGAATTAATTTTTTTAGTTCTTCAGTGAAAATCACCGTCACCCATACATGGGTGACATCGCGATCAACGTGTTAGTATCGAACGTTAGAGTATTAAATAAATAATTAAATAATATATGACAACGTGTTCTATGTTTTGTCCGCGTACTTCCCATATATTTACATCGAAATTCAATGCTAACGGTTAAACATGAATAATGAAATTAGTCTGAGTAATATCCAGATTAATTATCAAACTGAACGTACGCGGTAATTAATATCCACACCAGAGATTAACCTCAATTGATAGGATCAAGTATTTGTTACGATATTAGTAGGGTCAAATCAATTTGATCGCGACGTGTCGAACGAACCCGTGGCTTGAAACGCAAGATTTTCGTGTAATAGAATTACAATCGATGTAAATTGTAGAAACTTAGGGTCACCCTATCGCAACCCCTCGACTCTTATCAATTAAGAAAGGTCGAAGGGTCTTGGACTGAGCATGTCACGCATCACCATCCTCGAGGATACGACGTTAGACAATATTAGCTAAGAAGGGTCGGAAGAAGTTGGTTCCGGAACGATGGAAGGCTCGAAATAGTCTATGGCTGTCCTGGCACCGCTCAACACCTGAACCGTTCGTGTTCGCTTCGGAATAGCCGTAAAGCATACAAACCTTAGCTGCCAAAGAGGAGTAGGGTTCATCGAACAGCGACCACATCTGGGGCTTGACCTTCTGCCACCACGTCAGCGTGCCGGCGAAATACGCATCCTCGAAACCGAACTTCCTCGCCAGTTCCTCTTCGGTCGGCCTCTCGGTATCGAGGTCCAACCTGTCGAGGACTGTCAGCGTTTCCTGCGTGTCCCGATGCTAGAAGAGCGGGTCGGGGTGGAAGAGAGGGGGGATGCAACAACGATCGTTATTCGTACCTGCGAAAGTCTCTCGCTCTCTCGAGGGTGCTTTTTTTGTTTGTGCTTTCCTCGGGACAGATAAAGCGCGTGCAAAGCGTACGTGAGTCTCCACATATGGAACAAATACGTCATTCCCATTTCGGATACGACTAACGTCATTAGATACACGTGAACCGACCTTTAACGACCGCCATTTAGTCAAAAGGAATGCGCTATTTTATTGCAATATACAAGAAACGCGTTGGTCGAATCGTTGATTAAACTTTGTGCATCTAGCGACTTTAGGTATCGACTAATTCTAATTGCTGGTTTCGAAGCTCGCTGCGAATTGTCACAATTTTTCGCGCTTTCGTTTAGCACATGTAATTTTAATATTATTTCTAGATTCACGGAAAAGGAATATTTTAGAGCAAATAAATTGTTTCTTTGACATGAAAACGCTCTTATATAGTTTGTCTTTATTTACCTTTAACAACGGAGGAATGTTTTGATAAAAATTTTAGTAGCGCAGAACAGCTTCGAAACCGGCGCCAACATCACAGGCATTATTTACCGTCCGCCCTCACATCGAAGTTCCTTGCAATTCATCCAGTTTCCAATTAAATCGGACAAAGGCATGCAACCGTTTATTTATTAATAACGAAAAATGTCAGTTTCTACTATTTATTTATCGAGGTAGATTTCCGTCAGATTCTCGATAGAAAATGTGAGGTCGAAGCGTCTACTTCGTTTGCATTCGATTAGGTCACGATCGAAATAAGTAATAAAGTATCCACAGAGAACACGAAGACCAAAGATTTCTTTGATCCTCGTGCGGTTTCAAGAATCAAAGTACGCTAATATCGGTCGTTTCCATAAAAGAGGAACAAAAGTGGCACGCAAATGCTTATGGCACTGTATAACGAGCAACGCGATTCAACTTTCGATGATTATCCAGGAAAGCAGCGTCATTTTTCACTTGAAGTGCGACGCGATCGGTCCACGATCCTGTTACTGATAATAAATAAATTACCGTCGAATCAGGCCGAGCAAATGAACGGAAGGAAATGAATTCCGATTGCAAACAAAGGCTATCGAGTTTCCAAGTACACAAGGTGGATTTCATCGCGTCATTCAACGAACTGTCCCTCGCGGGGTTCACATCTTCGTCTCACGATTAATACTAATTACTGGAAAATTCGTTTTCGTTTCCCAGACTAATCGATTTTCGCCGATGCTAATGGGAATTCGGACTTGTCCTTCCCAGCTGTTCGGAATCGAGACTTCGACGTTTTAATCTTCATCCTGAATAAATCAACTTTTCATGGAATGTTTGACTATTCCAGCAACTAATTCGATCACTTTTAAATGGACGAATCGAAAACGGAGTATCGTAAAACGATTTCGGCATAGTTGCACCAGCAGTTTAACCCGACATGAATATTTCATAATCTCGGCGTTCGTTAGCGAAACAGCATGCAGGAAGTTTGAAATAAAGTAGGCATTTCCCGAGCTTGCGATCCATCGATTTTAGGGGATATTAAATCCTCAACGGCTCGTTTAAATCGTTTAACAACTTCCGCCGAAGAATCACGCACAGTAACTTTGTAACTTGTCTTAAAATGAAAATTATGCGTCCTCGTTTATTTCCAGCGTGCAACTTCTATGCTTACGGCAGCTGATACGGCGAAAGTCTACAAGAAAAAAATTAAGGACAGACGGGAAGTACAAAGTATGAAAAGTTTGATACTATGTCGCTGAATATCTGTGAAAAATTACTGTAATTTGTTGTTACGTTGTTCGTTGAAACGACCTGAGACGGTTAGAAAGAACGAGGGTCGCAAGACCGCGCAATTCCGCGGATAATTTCAAGTCTGTGCCATACTTTGAAGCTAATTGAACGCCGATTGACAATTTGGATAATGTACAATATATCGGAGTCCCGTGGAATGGTATGCTACGATTGCGGCGGGGTGCATTTGAATATTGCTGCAGGCTTGTCGTTACTGGATTTTGGCGAATGCGATATATCAGAACCGGAAACCGTGAAGTACATGCACGACCCCAATTAGAAACGCGATATAACGGGCGTGATCGCGAAGGCAATCATTCTGAAACATTTCCAATGAAAGCGTTCCTCGAAAGACCCTTCGAATCGTCCAATTACGAACACGCGACTTTTGAAAACTGAACTTACACGAACGATAGAAAATGCGAGGTGCGTTTATCTCGAGATCGCTCTTCGTTGACTGTTTGTATTTCGATTTGTCGTTGAACAATTTATGTCTGGTGCGCGCTCACTGCGTATGTACACGATTTAATTATAATCGCCTTTGAGAAATCGGGTTACGCCAAGGGTGACGTAAGCTCTTTTGTGCTATCCCCTTAAAGCATCATATCACGTTTGCCTAACCGAGAAGATTAGATTTTTAAATATTTAAGAGCAATGGAAACACGCGATTAACTCACTCGCGAGGATCTTTCTTGTCCACCCAAAAGAAGAGACTGATTGATTGTTTAAAATCGTTATTCTTACTTTGTTCATTTGACAGTCGATAAATCGAGGACTTTCTCGGAGGATTATTAAATATCAACCTCCTGAAACCTGACCTTTGCCGCTTTTCATTAACAATTCTCTGCTTCGGTGGCTCGATATCTTCAAGAGGCTTTTCTGTTGTTTCTCGTAAAAGAACTATTTATTTCGTGAGAAATAAATAGCCACATAAATTTCAATAAAACACCAACGCCGGACGAGACGTGCTCTTGCAATTTATCTACATTCCCCGCTACAAATCAATGGTGTTTAATCAAAATCTGAGGGTGTCCTTCGCAGACGACCCTTCGTTCCACGGAACCCCTAACATAAATTCCTCATCTCCTTTTCTTCTTTGGGATCGAACACGGTCGACATTGCAAATGACCCTGTTTTAGTCTTTCACTTGATCCTGGATTTGAAATGGGTCAAGATAGATGCCGGAGGAGTATAAAATCGAGATTCGTTCATCGTACGGGATGGAATAAAAAATGCTCTCGAGTATCAAACGAAGGTAGAATACAAATGAGATTTTTCTCGGATACGATACGTTCCGTGTAACCGAAACTCAATCAGTTTTAGAAAAAATATCGTATTACCTCGTGCAAAATATTTCCGAAAAATATTACGCCACCTAAAATATCTCTCCATCTCGAATTCCTCGCAATTTTCACTATAATATCCGTCGTGGAACATGACTACGAATGTTTTTTCGTAAAAGCTTCACTTGACATTTCGTAATATATGCGCGAGATTAAGTTTTTATCTCGTGGAACAATTTTCCTCTTCGAAACTTGTTTCAATTTTTTTTTTTGTCTAAACTTCATTTTAACGTAAAGTGTACTAAAAGAAGTATTCGAAATGGTGATGTTAAGTGGGTCACCCTTGTACACACGTATAATTCTCTGGTTCTGTTATTTTACATTTTACAAAGTAAATTTGCCGTAAGGCTGAGCCGTAAAATTATACACAGTGGGAAACCACGTGAGCTTTTACGAGCTGCTTGTTCGGGAATTACTAGAGATAGCTATGAAACTCTTTCGTCGTCAATTTGCTAGAGAATGGAAAGATGGATATCTAATAAATTTCAACAAATTTCGAAGGATTGTCTTGGAATTTCCATTATTAAATAACGATACTGCATCGATCGATATTCAAAGTATCGCGGAATAATGCAAGCATGCTGATGAGAATTCATCGAATCAGTGATTACTAGACAGGTGATGAAGCGATCGATCGTCGAGTGATTAATTATAGCAGCGAATCTGATATAACTTAGTGCATCTTTGGTTGGGATATTTATTTTACGCTGGCCACATGTTCCTCGTCAGGGTTAGACATAAAATTAGAAAAGATTATTATATCGTATTAGTATCGAATAAAATATTATTGTAGTGTATATAGGCCCAAGGTACGGAATAAAATCTTCGCGAGCAGTCCTCCGTTTCTAAGAAGAGCATCGCTGAAAAATTCTCGGTTACACGTTACTCGACAATGTATAACGAATTCAACAAAGATCGGAACGCATTGAAAGAATAGAGCCTCAAAGGAAACGACAAGCGACGAAGAAGCACATAAAGGATAGTCTCGCTTTTTCCGGGAGACACATAAGGTGGTGAATGAAACGGAGAAGAGTGCCTTTCATCGGTGAAAAAAGATTTACCTCGGACAAAAACGACTGGCCTTACTATTTCCAGGACATTAGAAAAGAATCGATGTTCCAAGTCGGGTTACGTTTCTTCCTTCCATTTCCAAGGAAAATGAAGAAAATTATTGCGCTATGATAATCGACTTCTTACTCGATTTTGTTTCGCAGTTTTCGCGTCTTAATGGTGAGACGAAGGAAAAAAAAAGAACGCAATTTATTCGGCCTGTTCTCCTTTACTCACACGAAGATGGAAGCGACACTTATTTTACGCCTCGGGACATCGAAACCAATTTTTACAGAATAGCCGGGCATTTCTCGAAACACAAAAATTTACTAAATTTCATTCGGCGTTGCTATTCGAGCATTTTTACACTAAATCTTCAAACAACTATTTCCTACAGTCGAAATGCCCGGCTATGCCAAGAAGCTGGGGATTACGGAACAGAGAATTAAGTAACCTGTAACGAAGGATTAAATATTTATATCTTTTTATACTTGCATCCTGTGCGTGTGCACCACACAATATAGGTATATATACATACATCAATTCGTTCGTCTCGTACACGATGCGCTAGTTTCCACAAATCGATAATTGTGCGTGCACTAGACAATTTAAAAAATATCTATGTATATGGGATCGATCTTTAAACGACGCGCCACGAGTTAATTGCATTTTGTCCGAGTGTTCGGAAAATTTATATTTTATGCAACGTCAACGCGAACAACGTAACGAGCTCGCGGAATTTTTAGCAAAACTCGCTGCACAGCGTGTTCCTTTTCGTCCCATTTAAATGTTTAAAGATTATACGATCCACCTGTACACGTAACGTATGAATTATGAAGATCAGGCTCGCGTAATTAGCATTACATGACCCAGATCTGTACCGATGACGTTAGATTGAATTAGTGATAACGTGACAAATGAACGAAAGAGATGCATGCCGATTATACTACACAATTTGCATTATATAATCGGTAATTCGGTTAGTAGTGTATATACACTATATATGAAAAACGACAGGCGTTGCGAATGACGAAAGAAAACCGACGCCAATTATGTCACATGATTTGCATTGTGCAATGTTTCGTGTTCGTGATTATTCATCTAGGCTGAATATAAAACAGTATTATAAACAGATGAAACAGACACATTCCAATTATACCGTTCAATAATGCAGCATTTACCAATTTCATTGCCGATGCAGATTAAGCGCCGCGTAATCTTTCTAATTTCATTCTCGACGGTTTCGATCAACGCGAGCACCACTTTGTAATTTCCTCGACGAATAACCGAATTAAATACTTTTCACATAATCGGTACATCGTTATGTTATTCCACACTTAAATTTGCGTGACGTTGAAAGTAAACCTATTTAATTTTTTTAATTGTTTCAAGTGTTTCAACGCAAAATAGTTACCCAATTAAAAATAAAATTTGAAGCACCACGCAGCGAGCATTATCATTTCTAACTTTCAGCGGGGATTGTATGCCGGAGAAAATACTCGTCCTAGCTTCAAACTCCCCCAGAATCGAGAGATGATAGGTTTTAAACACTTCATAGGTCCACTTTCGACGTCATAAATCGAGTTACCATTGCTCGTTCTCGTTAATCTGCATCCGCAAGTAGTAAAAACCGCATCGACCGATTACGTCAGGGTTAGGCAAAGAAGAGAAGCGGATAGGCCGTTCGGTGCGTATGTACCTGGGTGTAGGTCATCCAGCAACACGGCTCCACCTGATTGGAGTCGAGACCCCAAAAGTCGAGCTCCTCCTCGAACAGTGGGCCGCAAACATCCGTGGGGTAGTGGAGCTTTCCGGTGCGATAGTAGTTGAGGACTTGGGCGAAGACCCCCGGATGTCTGTCAAAGAAGTACTCGTTCAAGATGGGGTCGTAGTTCGCGAGGGCCTCGGTCAACCTCGAAAGCCTCGTCGCGGGGATCTTCTTTAGGGTCGCCTTGTACGTCTCGTGCCGGATTCCACCCACGTTCAGGACCACGCGGTTCTCCGAATCCATGTTTAGAAGACTCATTTTGATCACGGCTCTGCTACCGCCGGTCCTGACTCAGAGAAACCCACGCGGCCTGCGAACAGAACGCCAACGTTTCCTATTAAGCGGCTGTCCCAGTCTTAGCGATTTAAACAACAGTGATTCTAGTCGACGAAATCTCTCTCACTTTCATAAAATCCCTGTCCAAAGTTCTGTACCATTCCATTGTTCATGCAAAAAAAGGAACAATTTCGTTATCGTTATGTACGACTTTGCACCTTTGCATAAACCAGGTGCTAATGTTTCAAAACACATTACCATGACTTCTACGCTGGTTCTCGATGCTCGTAAATGTGCTCCATTAATATTTATCTGGGATCCTAAACAATTTATTGGTTTTTAAAAGTACAAAAGTAGTGGAAGAGCCGCCTGCTTTGCGTAAGCGTAAATTACGACGTGACTGTAAATTCATAGCACCACAGAACGCAGTTGCTTACTTACTTTAGAAAGTGGAATCTTTATTTATAGCTCCGTCTTGTGAGAGCATCTCATTAAATAGCAATTCTCTAACTTTATTAGCTGCATCCCAAATTCATGTACTTGAAGAGCGTAAGAGATTAAGGAGTATCTATAAATGTGCGCGACATTGTTTTACCAGTCCGCCCAGTGAAAATAAATACATTATCGAACGTTGTTCGACAGCGCAGAAAATTGTGCTTTTTCGGTTTACAATGTGCGATTCAGGACAGCGGAGAGGCAATTTAAACGCAGGAAAATTTTGGCAAAATCCGAAGCGGTTCCGGGGACCAAGCACTTTTTGTCAATTCGTTTGATTTATGAGGATTTCGGTCATCCATAACGTACGATTTAATTTTTGTTCCCTTTATCGAAAACTCTACCGCTCTTTCGCTGTCGATAAAAGCCGAGTTTTTCTCGTTAAAAAGCTCGATAAGGGCGGTCCTCGTTGAGTGTGACATCGTGAGTATTTTCAGGACATTAACGCGTGAGAAATAGCAATTCGATTTTTTACCTGACCGTCATTAGATTACCACCGACACACTTTCCAGACCATTCCAAAAATCAATGATAAATAAGCGAAAGAGAGAAAAGACAATTTACGTTTTTATTGTTTGCCCCGCTTTAGAAATTTTATTCGGCTCAATAGAACCTCGATAATTGCAGGAATACTGGACTGAATATCTTTCCAAGTATCGACACTCGTGCAACGATCGAGACAATCGATCCAATAAGAAGAAGCTCTACTTAAAGGAAATATCTTCGCAACCTATGGTCTTTACTACGTATCTACTTCCACTACTCGTTTGTTGCTAAGCGACCATCCTCTCTACTTATCAACACAATGCAACGAAAGAGTGTCTCGTGCAACCACGGAGGTTCCTTTTATCGAGGTTCGATCGTACTATAAAGTTCTACCCACTCTTCATTTTTATACAAATTTGTGGAATATTTTTTTTTTTTATATTACTCCATCAGAAGATTTGTCGCTAATAAAGTACGATCAACCTTGAGTTTCCGTCGAAACGAACTTCCTTCGATGTTTTGAATCGCGCCAACGTTTCTCTAATTATACGCTTTCGTGACTTCGCCATTGACGCGTGCATATTTAACAATTGCACATAACTGGGACGACTAAAAATACGAGCTCTTTAATTCCTCCTCCGTGTCCAACTTTTCATCTTCGAATGCACGTTACTCCGACTCGGCTAATTTTGCATGGAAGCGAGCTCGAAATTGGCCAATAGCCACAGCGAGAACGAGACGTGTAAAGCTCGATATCTGGCGATCTCCGGGAAAATGTAAAGCAAGCCTCCAGATAAACTTCAACAGATACCGCGACCTGACATTACTCTGCTCTTTAATAACTTCAAAAATGCGACAGGGAAACGAATTATACGGGGAATGTAAATGCGCCCCTGTGATATTCATCCAAGTAGCCTTTATAACGTTGATAAAGGCGAAGGAATTTTCATATTGCCTTCCACCACGGCGAGTCTGTTTTGAAAGCGATACCCACATATTGTCAATGGTAATTAATTCAGGAGAAACGAGGGTCGGGCAAAAATGTTAATATTTCGTTCGTGAAAGCACTATTCTGGTACGCGCGACTAGTATAGTCTTACGCGATAAAAAATATTACTTCGGTCCAAAATAAAGTTCCAAGAAGAAAATAAAATTAAAATCGATGCTGTTCCAATTTCGCGCCTAACTTTTTTAATAGAAACGTCAAAGATAAATTATAATTTGGAATAGTTTTTATCGGCGTCCCTCCCCGCGGTGCATTTTCTCTCTTGCAAAACGAGGCAACCTTTCTTTTTAATTAAATTTTCAACGAATCGTGCCGAGTCAATGCGACAGGTTTGGAATATTTCACATCGAAAGTCGCGATGCAACCGCCATTTCAGTCTCGTTTCGGCAACGCCAGTTAATCGAATTAAAGCTGATTGGAGCGCGTCGTGACCCAAACAATACATCCGTGATGTTTGCACAATAAAAGTTCGACTTTGATGTCGAGTTATTCGAAATCAATTCCCGATAGGGAGTTCCCCCGAAAAGCAAACTCTGATTTCGCAAATAGCACCAGATAACGACGTTCACGCGGTTTGCGCCTCGTGTCCTTCGCCTGATGCTATCGCGATGGCAGGCATCAGCAATTTCGAGGCTTCGAAGGTGGAATTAATCCCCTACTCGACGTCGTAACTGGAGATTAATTGCACATTTTCCAACCATTTCAACAACGATCGGCGTACCGTGTAGAGGCAATTACGCCTTCGAATGTAGGGGAGAGTTACCTAATTGGAACCTATTCGACGATTCTTAATATTCTGTAACACCTGAACGCCCGTTGTTTCGTTGAAATCGTTTGTTTCTTGTCTCGCGAAGAAACCTATTCTTTTCGGTGGAAGATTCCGTTACATTTGTAAAAGTTGTCCCGACCTGGCGCGGTAAATGAGAGTTAATGGTATGGTGAAAAATTATTTTGGACTGGCTCCAAATTTCCTCGCTTATTCACCGTATTATTTTTTGTTTCCCTTCGCGGTCTCCTCCCTTATGCAAACGGCCGCGTAAATCAATATAGCCAGCACTTTCTGCGGTTTTTAGTTCAACGCGTGGCTTAAATCGAGCGAAGTTTCAAGCACGATGTACTTTGGATACAAAACTGGATCTATAATTACAGATTCCGTAAGAGGATTAATTACACTGTGATTATTATAATAGAATTCTAGATACTTGTAACTCCTATACATTCGAAAGTAATTCAAGCAGAAAAATAGATATTAATATACCTCCGTCGGAACTGCTGCATTCTATATAATGCAGTTATAAATCCCACGAGAGCTACAGTCGGAGAGTCTATAAAGTGAAACGAGTTCTTCTGAAATATTCAGCGTTTTCTTAAACGTGAAACTCTAGGTATGGAATCCGAAGCATCGCATGTAACCGATACGTTAAACCTATTTTCTACTTAAAAGCTTATCTACTTTATTACTCTATTCGGCAGTTATCAGATTACATACTAGATTTTCCCTTTAGAATTTCTCCAGCTCTTGATCATCTTTAATTACGGCCCTTCGAGAGTGCAAAATTCATTTTCAACTAATTACAGATTATTAGATTTAGATTATTATTGGCTATTAACGGCCGTTACCGCCCGAGAACAGTTTAACGTTTTATTTAGAAATGTGTAATAATTGGAGGAAAAAATAGCGAAACATAATCTTCGGAGGGTGTAGTAATGGACGTGAGAATTATGCTTTGTGTCTGGCCATTCATTTCGAGATAAGAGGAACTAGATTATTCAAGGCCCGTAGAATCCATTATGATAACCTACAAATGATAAGCGAACGCCAGTGGAAGTTTTTTATTGTCTTTTTTCGTATTAACAAGCAGAGACTAACGTATGGTGGTATCAAAAGTATTAAATTAGTGGTTCCTTTGGTGGTAAGAACAGTTCGCGATTTCATTATTTATCGCTTTAGGTAAATATGTATCCAACTGGATGTTATGAATTTTTTATGTATTTTTCTCAGCATTCGACTATTGAAGCGCGAGCTGTTCGTAAATCAGACTCATCGATACGCTAATCCGAAGTCACGCGTAATCGTTGCGGAGTACAGATTTATTTTTGTTTAAACTCGGAATGAAACGACGATGATTTCAACGGTAAGAAAATAATCTACAAGTGGTCTTAACCTCAACCACGGTACTCGAGAGGGTAGCAACCCTAGCAACATTCAGGGTATTTCGTTCTCGGTCAATGTTCGCCACGAACCACCTGTCAACGTGACTTCGTGCCTCGCATTCGCGGAATCGTAGTGTCAGCAGACGAATTTTACTCTTACGATTAGAATGAAATATACAGGACGCGGTTGAGCGTGTCGTGATTTCTTTAATGAAAGCAAAAGCAGACATTCTGTTCAGAATTCTTTTCAGAAGCAGAAATTTGTTTAAATCATTAATAAAGATCAGTCACGCTTTTATCTCGGGGTTGCGTATATTATCATATTTGATCAGATACGATATTTGCAAAATGAGAATCGACTCTATCGCCGACAATACTACACATTAATAAATTCACTTAGAGAGTATTAGCCTAAACGATATAATGCGTAATACTGTCGATTCCCACGTTTCAATACGGCTAACGTAATTCGGGTGAATCTGGTTAACAACATAATCTTCCCTGACCACCCGAGCGAGTAATTCACCGTGATAGCCAGAAGCCTTGCAATATCGCGAACAAATCCAAAGATAACTCAACTAGTCCATCCTATCTTCTTCATTTCTCACGCGAAAGTATCCTAACATCCAATAACTTCAACAAATTCCATTAACCCAGCAGAAGAAAAGGTGGACGGAAAGCGTTTTCTTAAATTGAAAAATCTGATGGTGGACGTAACTTGCATTACGAGTATACGTTACCGTGCACAGTCATCGTGCTAATAATTAATAATGATTCATAGTGGTCAACTCTTTAGAAAACGGTGCATAAATTTCATTTAAATTGTTCATTGATAAATCAAGAATTATGTTTAACATTTTTGAACCTGGCTTGAACCGCTAACACCTGGAAAG